ATTTATTTCTGCGCTTTTGCCCTAGAACCACTGATCCTTCATTTTCAAAGGCTCACACACACAAAAAACGCATAGAAAATCTCTTTGAGACTTTGCAGAGCTCCTTCTCATACAAAACGTGAAATTTGTATTTGCTTTATTACACAGTACAAATACATTTGTCGTCAGTTAAAGAAAATAAAGTCGTTATTGCGCAATTCAATAAAATCTCGGATCAGCAAAATATAGAAAGTCCGCCCACTGCTGAGACAGTTCACAGAGCAGACATTCTGTGTACAAAGCGAAAAAAACGGCAACTCACTTGAAAATATTGAAGCTCAGTTACGGGAGGAAGATATCAAAAGTAACACAATCCAGGCAAGAACATAACAGCGTCCAATACAAGTCTCCTAAACGCGAAACAGACCTGCTCTGTTCAGTGCTCCCATTGCTCGGTTCTGTTAACGGGGGCTGATAAGGTACAAAATGATACCAAGGGGGACATACTATTTGAATCCCTGCTACCTCTCTCGCAGGCAGATCTGTTGCGAGTCTACTGACAGGTTTCTAAATACAGTAAATGGCGCAGATGACTGCTAGTTATACGCCCTTGAATCAAATGTATTTGTTTTGATTTTAGTCTGGCCAGTTACAAAAAAAGCAAGGAGGTTATCCAGTTTTCATAAACAGTTACTTTTATCTTGGACACTGGCCTATAAACACTATTTCTTCCCACACACATACAGTATTTGGAATAACAACATTATACATTATAAAATATATATTTTTTAAAAGATGGTTTGATATTTGATGGTATTATATTGGTGAGACAATTACTAAATGAGATCGACACATTACTGACTTGCAGAATTTTTGGAGACCTTTAAGATTCCAGTTAAACCCAAAGAATATGTTATAGTACTGTATTTGATGCTACCCCTGGGGGCGTTATTACTTTCCTTAGGGGCGATAACAGAACATATAATTATGCAACCAATCAATTAACATATATTGTCTAATTGGGTAGTGTTAACATTTTAGAAAAGAAATGTAATAATAATTACATAAAGAACATATCTTTACCAATATTCATTCCACCTGCAAAGACCTATTGGAATTCTAATTGAATTATATTAATTGTCAGAAAGTATGGAAAATGACAAATATTGTCTCAACAATAAAATTAAAGAAGTGTCATATAAGAATATTCATACAATTTATCCTGTTAAACAAACATTATCCAGATTGAAACTCAACTTAGATGGTCAATGTGTATTTTGTAACATGAATAAAGAAACTATATGTCATTTGTTTTATTGATGTATTCAAACCAATAACTTGGAACATTTCTTATTAAGATCTATACAGTAAATATTAAGATTTATTTTAATGGGTTTGATACCATACTTTATTTTACATGTCCAGATATGGACCAAAAAATTATATTTGCAATAAACCTATTACTAAATTATTGTGAGGTA